AGGGTAGAGAGAATAGTGCAACAATGAATGAGTGGAAGCCCAAAATCTCTGTAAATGTTTATGAAAATTAATAAAATATAATTATAGAAAAAAAATCTATACAGTAAAGCATTAATCAACAGAACAACCTCCACATTTACAATTCACTGGCTTCCACATCACCATTATTACTGTCTTTTCCTAAAATTCTCTACCCTCATTAACCTAAATTAATACCCTCCAAACAAAAGACTCTTGAATGATATGGGAGTAGCGAGGGGACAGGAATTCTAGTAACTTTTCTGCAAACGTGTAGTTGTTTCAATTAAAAAAAAAAAGCTTAAATGCCAAGAAAACAATGAATATGCCTTATTAAAATGATCAGAGAAGTTCTGATTGTTATAGAACAGCATTGCTGCCAGCAAGACCTAACAGTGCTGCTTGAACTCTGCATGGACCATATGTGATTTTGGTGGGGAGGGGCTCTCTGCTGAACCACCACCAGGCCCTGTGGAGCTGCAAAGGCACTGGGAATGTCTTCCAACCCCAAACCTCATAGTAGCTATTGACAAAAAACACTGCACTTGCCATTTCCACACGCCTAAAGGAGCTCTAGTGGCTTAGTGGCAAGGAAGTGCACTGCCAACACAAAGGTGTGCAATTTACTGTCTCTGAAAACTCAAGGGAGGATCAGCTATGGGTCGGTCCTGAGTCTCTGGTTCACTACCACCACAAGGCAGCCTCTTACAAACTACATGAGAAAAGGAACTTCTATTTCCTTCATGACTATACACCCAGCAACCAACACCAAAGGGTCCAATGAATCACTGCTACATGAACGACTGTGATAGGTCCACTCTGCAGAATGCTTACCACCTGCCCACATTATTTACGACAGACCCCTGTCCTGACTGGCCAGCCACTGAAGCTTTCAGTTCAAGTTATCCAAGAGCTCAACAAAGTGAAAACACTGACTTGGAAGGGAGCAAGTAACAGGTCACATTCCTACACAGAAAAAGAGCAGTGATATTTGTTTTATTGCCTATTTGCACAAGTCTTTATTATTCCCAAGCTTCTTTTCAATCCATAACCTTAACTGGTCCATTAAGAGGAAATAAGCTACAGCCTTCTGGACTAAGCCAAACCTGCTATACACTGCCTACTACCGTGTGTACTAAAGAACTCTCCTTAACAGCCCTTAAACATTCAAGTGTATACTGTAGTGTGTGTGATTACTTCATTCGTATTTGTCTCTCCCACTGGATTTTGGACTCCTGGAGGGCAAAGCCAAGAGTTAGTTCACAGTGCTTCACATGTGGCAGGCATCCTAGAAAGGAGACTACAAACAAATGGCTGGCTGGATAGACAGACAGCTGGCAAGCTAAGTAAGTCAGTATATAGATAGGTGTGCTATGGGGGTAGATGAACGAAGTGAGTGGCTGGCTGGCTGGCTGAGTGGAGGGATGGATGGGTGGGTGGGTGAGCACCTAGGTGGATGGATGGGCAAGCAAGTGTTTATATGGATGTTTATATGTTTATATGGTAGATGCGTGGCTAGCTTTGATCTGCCCTCCGACATCCCACCCAGCTCTACCTGCTGTTGCTGGGCCCGGAGGTCACCAATTTCCTTCTGGTCCTCCTCGTGGAGCCGCTTCATGTCCTCCCATGATTGCTGCAGCAAGTTTCGTTCCCGCAGGAGCTGCCCGTTCTCCCGCCTCAGCATGTCCACATCATCCTTCAGCTGGGTCTGGTCGCTCAGGAGCCGGCTGTGGAGTGAGCTGAAACCACCAAATAACACATAGCGGTGAGAGAGCTTCAGACGACCCCATCCCTGCTTCCCTGCAAAGGCAGCACCAGACTCTCTAGGTGCCCACATTCCCCACAGCAGGTGGGAGCCAACACAGCCCAGTCATCAGCACCTAGAGTCTGGCCAAAGCCCAGCACTGGTCAAATTCCAGACACCAAGAAAGGGGTGTGTGTGTGTGTGTGTGTGTGTGTGTGTGTGTGTCCAAAGGCACACGGGGAGCCCTGGGGGCATGGTCTGTGTAGTGAGCGGAGCCGCAAACCAACAGACCACGCACACATCTCTGGCAGTTGGCAGGAAGAAGAGGGGCTGCCTCCTGCCTTTCTGATTTACAGCCTCGGAAACCCAATGCAGGGTCGTGATGAGGGGGAAGCAACCACAGAGCAGTCAGTCTGATGATGCCAAGAAAACAAGAGAATACTCAACCTTATATAAGCCTGGCACCTCCCAGTACTGAGGCCTGAGTTAACATCAGTGGAAAGCTGGTCAATCACTTCTTAGGGTACCTGCCTGACAAGCTGCAGCAAAGTCCCTGAACAGTGACCCAGAAGCCAGGAAGCTCCCTGCCCACTGCCTGGTGTTTTACATCCACTTCATATCTACCATGCTCCAGAAACAGGCAATCATATGAGGTGAATTAAGAGCTTTATTTTATGCATAGGAAAACTGAGGCACAAAGCCATTTGTTAAACACTGAGTACCTCCTATGCGGCAGGGGTAGCACTAGATCCTGAACCCTCAGCTCCAAGTCCAGAGACACAGCACCTGGGATACTTTCTGTGGACACTGGGGAGCCCTTGTAAGCAGACCCCACTCACTGGTAGAAGTCGGTCTCCTTGGCCACCTCCTCACATCTCTTCAGAGCATTGGTATGCTGGTTCTGGAGGCTCTGCAGGTCTGACATGGCCCGAACACACTGGATCTTCAGCCTCTCGTAGTCAGGATTCAGCCTGTGGTAGGGCCTGGCCCAGAGAGGAAGACAGCCCCATGAACACAGCCCCCAGATTTGCACCAATAATCGTCTTCTCTCAGCTGAGAAAATATGTCCTGTCTCTTCCACAAAGCTTCCTAGAGCTACTCCAGCCCAGCAGCTAACAAAAATTGGTCTCCAGTGAAAAACTTAAGTTGGATGCTTGATAAAGCCTGACATCCTGACCTCACCAGACCATCAGAACCAGAAGCTAACGTGAAGGGAGCTTGCCAGAAGTTCCTCGGGCACCATGAGAGCTGAGAAGGGACATTGTTGTTTATTGGAGCTTCCAAGAAACCATCCCACACGGTAAATCCCACCACATACTGCGGTGGGGGCCCAGCTTCCCCTCTTCAGAACAGGGATCCTCACTATAGGGTACCTACCAAACACCGATAATATAAGGAGAAAATGTATGGCACACAGAATCCAGGTCTCCTGGAGTCACCGAGAGTCAATAAACCCCTGAGATAATCTTTAACTTTTCACTGAAATAAAAAATACTCCCTGAACGGAAGGAAGTGTTAAAAGGACAATTTCACTGTGGGTATAAAACTAATATTGTAGAACAAGATGTGTATGAATGTTTGAATGAAAAGTTAATATGCTTTGTAACTTTGATTCAAACTAAAATATTTTTAAAGAATTGTCTGAATTCTTTAAAGCAAACAATAAACCCTGAAACCAAGCCCCCAAACATCAAGCTGGTTCCTACTCACAGGGACTCTCTTTGGGATTTCGAAGCTGTAAACTTTTACTGTCCATCTTTCTCTTGGGGAGTAGCTGGTAGAATCAAACTGCTGACCCTACAGTTAGCAGTTATACCACCAGGCACACAACTCATGCTACATATTACATAACCACAGCTAATCCAAGCAATGTTGTCGCTGTTGTTGTTTCTGCTGTGTTCCACTGAGTCAGAGGTGACCCCCCGTGAGTTTTTAGAGGCAGTTAATCACACAGGAGGAAACTAACTGCCCATCTTTCTCCCACAGAGCAGCTGATGGATTTGAACCACACTAGTTTAGCATAATCAGTAAAACATTTTCCCTTGAGGATTGTGCTCTTCTCTGGGATCAAACTGACAAGAGCAACTTTAAGGACCAGATAGGTAATTTAGGGGGCAGTGAGTCTGCATTGATGGAGAAGAACAATCTAGAAAAGGAGGGTGAGACACAACTTCAAGAATCTAAGCGACCAGCATGGAATTGCACATGGAGATTGGTTGATTGGTTTACGTTCTGCCTTCTATTGTCATAACATGAACATATATAAAATAAAATGGAAAAACAGCCAATCAGTGTAACTGCTGTCAGTAAGCTGTATACCTGTAAAAAGTGGGAATGATAAAATTTTTGTAAAATATCAACGATGCTCTACATTGTCCTCCCCAAAAGAAAAGAGAGCTCCTAAGGCTGCTTCAATCAACTCCTCAATTCAGCTCCTTGGTTTGGCGCTGCAGGCTCTGGGTTTCATATGACAGTCCAGTTAATTGGCTTCGTATCCTGTTTAGTGCTTGCATTCTATCTCTTTAAGGATCAGATAGGTGTGTTGCTCAGTGCCTGGGGCGCTGAAGCTAGCAAACAGCCATCTAATATCTACCGAGAACAAGAGGGGAAGGGGGGAGAGTGAAAGGCAGGAGGAGGAAACGGAATGTGAAGCTAGTGAACGTCTGCCCCGTGAACGTAACTGCCTCCTCTGTCATGAGACCGGAAGAAACAGATGGTGCCCCAGCCACTAGGATGGAACATTATGATCAAAGATTCTTAAGAACCCTAATCGAAACAGGGAAGAGAAGAGTAAAATTTCAACAGATTCTCTGCAGCTATGAAAGCTGAATCAATTATTCAAACTACTGCTCTGAGATAATCTTTGACATTTAAACTGGAATTGTTCCTGAAGTCTTCTCAAGGCCATCAATAGAGTGTAGAAGGCCTAACATGAGTATTATACGCTTTTTGAGATCTATCTTCATGGGGTTACATCATCACTGGACAGATCAGATAGAAAATTTAAGGGGCAGTGAGGTTATGTTAATATGGAAGGAACAAAAGAGAAAAGCACTTGAGAAGGGTTGTACAACTCAACATAATCAATGTCACTGAACTGCAGAAGTGGGAAATAGATGAACTGATGCATGCTATATTCTATGTGTTTGTTCAACAATGCCAAGAATAAATTTCTTTTTTAGAAACCCACTCAGACCAATTACATCAGCATCTCTGGATAAAACCATGATTTTGGGGCCTTTACAAGCCCCCAGTTGATACCAGTGCACAGCCAAGGTTGAGAACAGGACCCAGCAGCAGTGTTTCCCCAAGAAAGGAGTCAGGCTGGCACACTAGCAGTACCTGGGAAACTGTCAGAGGTACAGTCTGGCTGGGGTTTTAGGCCCAGCCTCAGGGCTCCTGAATCAGATGCTGCATAGTGATGGTGAACAATCTGTAGCTACTAAGCTCACCTGCTGATTATAATGCATGCTCAAGCTTGAAAACTCCTGCCCTAACCCAGAGTTCAGCAACTATAAAAGGTCAAGGAATAAGTATTTTGGACAGTATAATCCCTGTCACAACTACTCAATATGACAGTTATAGAAGGAAAGCTGCCACAGACAAATATACACAGCATGGCTGTGTTTCAATAAAACTTTATAAAAGCATGCAGTAAGCCAAACTGGGCCAACATTTGCCAACACTTGCTGAAGAACCTCTGTGTCTTCAATCCTCCTGCCTTGTACCATCTAACTGATCCTATTCTCATCAAAACCATCCCCTGGATAGGGCTGTGTGGCCCTGACACCATCCCAGGGGAGATTCCTAAGGAAAGCAGGTGGATCAAGGAGTTAACCTTGTCCCCTCAAAGCCCCTGCTAGCATCATCTCAGAGGGATACGGAGTCCTGCATTGTCTACTCCTCCTCTGTGATGCCACCATGCCCCACTCCCGTGCTTTTCTGATCATCACCTCTAGTGACAAAGAAAGAAGGAGTCAAAGATGGCGAGCAGAGAAGGACAAATTTGGAAGGGTGGAGGGACAGTGCAGATGAGGAAGACCCCAGATGAGATGGACTGAAACAGTAACTGGGGCAATGGGGAGTAGGTATGTCAGAGTCGTGAGACTGGCTCAGGACAGGGCAGGCTTCAGAGCTGCTGTACAGAGGGTCACTATGAGTTGCAGGTGACTTGATGGCACATAACAACAACAAAGCACACAAAGACCCACTCAGAGTGAAGCAAGCTAGGATCTAGGGGAAGACCACGGCACATAGACAGACAGGCAGATGGACTCAGTCAGATGGGTCAGTGTGTGTTACGTGGAAGCAGACGAAGGGGGAAGACGAGGCCATGGTCATTCAACCAGCAGTGATGGGGGACAGCAGAACAGGATCAGCCAGAACACAGATCAGAGCTGGGCAGGCTCTTCTTCCACTGACGCACATCACTGTCAGGGGCCTCTCGATATGTGTCACGGGGCACAGAGATGCACACGAACATGTGTACACGTACGTACACACACACACACACACACACACACCTCTCAATTCCAGGTCATGAGCCACCGCTCCTGGTCTGACTGCCTGTGTCCCTCTCCCACCCCAAGCCTGGGACACTGCTGCTGGATTTGAGATGGGGGCACAGGAATGACTGTGGGGTGAGGTGACAGCCCTGGTACCAATATGCTCCCCCCACCCACTGGGCCTGAGCAGAGTCAGGGTTACTGGGCCTTAGCTGGTTGGGTTACTACCTTTTGTCAAAGGTCGTCCCATGTGCTGCAAAGGCCAGGCGCTTCCGCAGCTCGTTCCTCTCCTGAGTCATCATCCGCAGCTGCATGGAAAGGCTCTCCACCTTCTCAGTGACCTGCCGTTCGGTGAGGAGGGGCGGTGGGGACGGAGCCTTCCCGGTGGTCCCTGGTGGGAGGAAAAAGCTTGAATGAGCATTCAGACGACCCTCAGGGCAAGCCAGGCAATGTGGTGGGGTCTGATCTACTGGCTGTTCACGGCCATGTGTAAAGTGGGTATCATTAGTATCCCTTCTGTAGAGACCTCACCAAGTCCCACTGAGGAGGAGCTGGGATTGAGCTGCTCACCAGACAGTCTGGCTCCAGCTTGCACACACTCGAGCACCCAACATCCTAAACTATGTTCCCAACTCAGGTGACCAAAGCACAGGACCCTGAAGACTCCCATCCATTCCCACTCTGCCTTTGATACCTTTAGTAAAGCACTGTCTTAGCCCAGATCCTTGTATCCTCTCCTGGTCTAAAAGCCAAGCTGTCACTCGCTCCTGGACACGCTGCGTCAGGCTGGTGGACATAGTGGAAGGGTTTGACCTGAGCGCCAAGGAGAGAAGCCCCAGCCGAGGAGGACAGTGCACGAGGCGTCCTGCAGAGTCCTCAGCCTCCGTTTCCCTCCCAACCAGGCTGGACATGCTCCACAGGCTCCTCCTGTTCCAACTCAACTGCCGGCAGGACCTGCCTGACCAGCCTAGGTGTGCAGGTTTTGGGGGAGTTGCCCACCAGCAAGGTGAGCACAACTTGATGATGCCAGTAAATGTGCAGCCTCAGGCCGCACAGTGCACAATGGCCCAGATCACCTGCCCCAGGATGAAAAATGTCCTCAGGGAACACCATGCTGTGTGCTCTTACAGGAAACAGCATCTGATGCTACCTCCCCTACCCCCACAAGCCATAAAATCCATCTCTAGAAGACAACACCTCAATCAAGAGCAGAATCACGCTCTTGTGCTTTTATACCTAAATCTGTAAAATGTGGTGCAGGGTCAGGAGCTGACATCCTGTTTCATGCGTGTAACCCAGGGACACTGACGTACTCTGGGACACAGGACTTGTGCCCTTGTGAAGGTCAGGCAGGACGTCTTCTGGGGCCCTGACGACCCTCAGCTGCCCAGGGATGGGGACTAAGTTCAATAAACTCTCTTTGGTTTGAGTGACTGTCAAAATCAAGTATGTTCCCAGCCGCGAGATAAAAGAAGGGCTTGTGACACAACACAGTGGGTTACATGGTATGGGTGGGACGCAGCTCTCAACACAGCACTGTCCAAAGCCAGCACGACATGTCCTAGTGGTGCAAGTTTTAAGCACTCAGATGCCAACCAATAGGTTAGTGGTCTGAACCTACTACCCAGCAACTCCTTAGGAACAAGACCCACTGCTCTCTAGGAAGATTACAGTCAAGAAAACCCTCCAGGCCAGTTATACGTGGTTGATGCACAGCACCCAAAGATACGTCAGTCTCGTACGCCCTGAAGCCAAGTCATTAAAGCCTCCCAGATTCCTGCCCTCTGACCCACACCATGAGGATCAGCACTGGCTCCGGATGAGGGAATGAATCAAAATCTGCATTTCTACTCAACACAGTTCTACTCTATTCTGCATTGCTCACTGCTCCTCACAGATCCTGGATCCTAATGCCTGCCCCAGGGGAGCCAGGGAGCAAGCTGGCTGCAGCTCCCGTGCAGGCTGTCTGACACCCTCTTTTTCCTCCCAAAGGAACTAATTTTCTGAGCATTCACTGGGGCCAGTTCCACCTCTGAATCATCCAGCTGGTGTGCAGTCACTTATCTGACTCTCTGGTCAGGGAGATTTCTCAGGGTATGTGTCAGATGCCCTTCCTGGAGGCGCATTCTATTCATACTCTAACCAATTTCAGGGGAAACTGTATATGAAGGACTGGCGAGGCTATAAAGACTCTAGAAAGGGCACTCCACAAAAGAGTTCCATTTTCACATCACGGTCAACCCACACAACAGAAGACACCCCACAGGAAAGACTTCTACTCAGTGCTTATAATGACCCACATTGATTTTATTCTTGCCACAATCCTAGTTGTTGTTGTTATGTGCCTTCAAGTCACCTGCAACTCATAACGACCTTATGCACAAGAGCTCTGAACTCTGTCCTATCCTGAGCCAATTTCACTGTCTCTGACACACTTGCCTCTACTACCCCAGTCACTGTGTCAATCCATCTCATCTAGGGTCTTTCTCTCCTGCGCTGTCCCCCAACCCTTCCAAGTCCTTCTCCAAGGACTGGTCCCTCCTTGCAACATGTCCAAAGTATGTGAGATAGATCTTCAAACTCATTGCCTCCAGAGAGCAAGTTTGTTTCAACCTCTCCAGGACAGACCTGTTTGTTCTCCCAGAAATCCATGGTATGTTCACCTCTTCTATAGCATCACAACTCAAAGGCATCAATTTTTCATCAACAACTTGCATTATGCAAATGATACAACCTTGCCCATTGAAACGGAGGAGAACCTGAAGTATCTGCTGCAGAAAGTCAAGGACTGCAGTCTTCAATATGGATTGAAGCTCAACATCAAGAAACAAGGATTCTCACCAATTCTGGGCCAATTGGCAGCACCATGATAGATAGAGAAGAGACTGAGATTGATAGCAATTTCAGCTTGCTTGGCTCCATAAGCCACAGTCTTGGAACAAGCAGCCAAGAAATCAAGAGACAAATTGCATTAGGATCTGTCAGGGACCTCTCCAGAGTGCTGAAGTGCAAAGATGTCAGTCTAGAGACTAAGGTGTGCCTGTTCTAGTACATGGTCTTTGCAATTACTTGCTATGTATCAGAGAGCTGGACAATTAATCTGGATGACAAAAGAACAATCCTAGATATGATCATGCCATTTTATAAGTGAGTAATCAGAAACACAGCAAGGCTAGGGAACTGGCTCAAACTTACACAAACGCCTGAAGTGACACAGGAATGTGAGGCCAGGATGCTTTGCTTCAGAGGATATATCTTCCTACATGTCCCTGCTGTTTTTCATATGCCAGCTATTAGCAGTGACTCAATGTCCAGAGTCCCTGCTGGTGCAAATTGTTAAAAAAGTGTTAATAGGCAGGCTGGAATTTTGTGTCCACCAGAGCCATCTCTGAAAAAAAGTCCTAGAAATCAATGTCCCAAAAGTCAGCTACTGAAAACTCTCCAGAGCTTAGTTCTGCTCTAACCTGGGTCAGCTCAACAGCAACTTAATTGGTGTCTGGTAGCTTTTGAAGAGTTTTTCACAGATTAAACTCATTGCCAATGAGCAGAAATAGACTTACAGCTGACCCTCCTGTAGGTTTTGGAAGCGGTCAAATGCATGGGAGGAGACTGACCATTTTTCTCTCACAGCAGCACTTGTGGATTTGAACTGGCAGAGAGGAGCTGCCTGCTGGTTAGCAGTGCAACTCCCTACAGGATCCGCCACCAGCACTCCCTTTTCCTACATTACCCCATTTAATATCCATAAGGTGGATACCTGACCCCTAGAGTAAGGGTAATTAAGGGTGGGGTCGAGCCTGCGGAGCCTGCTCCAGGCCCTAGCTTCAAATCCTCTCAGGCCCAAGGTATAACCCTGGTATGTCCACTTGCTGTACAGAGGTAACTCATGGCTGCTGTGAAGCCGAATACTGTTAACCATGGTGGGCAGTGTTGGTGAAGCTCCCTGATTAATACAAGCTTGGAAGCAGGAGTGGCATCTACTTTCAAAATAGCTTGCCTCTGGAAACCCTATGAACGTGGAGAAAGGACGGAAGTTATACAGGTGTCCAGGACTTTCATTCATAGGGTCACTATGAGTTGCCTGTGACTCAACGGCACTTAACAACAACAAGGTAGATACTGCTGATATCCCTATGTTACAGATCAGGAGATTAACCTATACTGAGATTAAGGTGTCTGGGTCTCAGAGTTAGTAAGTGGCAGAGCTGAGAGTAGAGACTCAGGTCCAAAGACTCTGAGTGGAGCAAATGGTTAGAGCTTAGCTGCTAAATGAAAGTTTGGCACTTCCAGTGCATACAG